GGAGGTGCGGTAGTCTCGAAATAGTTCACGCATACACTTTCCACGCGAACCGAGGTTCACGCACACCCCCCCCGTGCTTTCGGGGGAGGTGCGGTAGTCCCGAAATAGTTCACGCATACACTTTCCACGCGAAACAAGGTGCCACATGGGTTCATGGCGCGTTTTACAAGCTCGTTTAAGTAGAGGTGGTATTAAACAAGATAAGTTAGTCAATCATCTGTGTGAATATTTGTGGCGATATACAATAAACGAGCTCGTAAAGCACGCCACGAACCCGTTACAACAAAATAGCTGCTATATTTTTCAAACTTTTTTTGTTAATAACTTTTTAATAAAGAACGACCGCCGGCTAAAACCTTCTGAAGGTCACTCAGGAGGGTGACCTTGACAACATATGTCAAGGTCAAGGTCATTGGCGAGTGGGGTCTTTTTGTAAATAATTACCAAATTTATTAACTTTTAAGATATTTATCTGTTTTTTCTTTAAATAAGACATTCTGAATTTTATGTATATATTATATACTGGGTGTCTCAAAAGTCTCGGAACGATTAAATATCTTGAAAAATATGGAAAAACGTTTTAGACAAAAGTTGTAGGGTTTACAAAGATCTATTTACTGACCTTATCAGTTTAACTCTAGGTGGCGTCATTAAGGTCAAATCAGGGTCACTTTAAATTTTTTAAATTGGATCTCCTATTTTTTATTGCGTATTATTGTCGATTCCTTGTCGAGACGTTTTCAAAGGACTATAATAAAGCTATTTTTCGTTAAGAATTTCTACTAAAATATTTTAAATTTTGTCACAATATTTTTAATATAAAATACGAAATATCCCGTATAGTACTCATTTTTCGATGACTTTATCTTGATACTTTTATACGTAGAATAATGAAAGAAATTGATTATTGTAAAAAAAGCAGAAAAAATTATTTTAAAAATTTGATTGCATTTTGTGAACGCATTTAATTTTACAAAATTGCAAATATAAACGTTAATATAATTATTCGATTCCTTTTATTATCTTACGTATAAAAATATCAAAGTAAACTCATCGAAAAGTGAGTATTTTACGAGATATTTCATATTTTATATTAAAAATAATCTGACAAAATTTAAGTATTTCAGGAAATTCTTTACGAAAGAGAACTCCATTATAGTATTTTGAAAACGTTTCGACAAGGGTTACAAGAACATGTAATAAAAAATAGGAGGTCCAATTTAAAAAATTTAAAGTGACCCTGACTTGATCTTAACGACGCTACTTGTGGTCAAACTGATAAGGTCAGTAAATAGATCTTTTGAAACCCTACAACTTTTATCTAAAACGTTTTTCTGTATCTTCCATATTTTTCGAGATATTTGACCATTCCGGGACTTTTGGGACACCGTGTTTATAATGCGATATATAAAATTGATATTAACAATTAAAACAAACATATTTCACTTTAGAAAGTCAGTTTTGAAAAACGTTGTTTTTTTTATCTGGATATTGAGATATTTAATGATGAATATCCCGATTATAAATTAATGATAAAATTGATCTTTTTTTTTTTTCAAAAGTTAAAATGGAATTAGAGACTTTCGAGCAAAAATCTGATTTTTGAACTCTTTAATATCTGGTTTAGTTCAAAGAATTAAATTGACTTCATCATTTTAATATTTTCTTTTCATAATTTACAGAAAGCGTTCTCATTGAAAATTATTTGATATGTTTAAATTATTACAACTGCGCATACAATAACACTATTAAGAAAAATGCACGAGAACAAAAATAATCGTTTCTCTTCGTGGTTTTAGGGCGCCGAATATAATCCATTTACCAAGTTGCTATATCACGTTACAATTATGAGAAATTTGCTCATATTTTAGCGCCTACAAAAACTACGGGAAACGATTACCCTCGAAAATTCATTCTTTGTTAAATAGTGTAATCAATCATTTTTTACAATATATATCCAATCATTAGTGAGTTATGCTTGCTGATAATTGTTTAAATATTGTTACTATATTCGATATAAAATACAGCAATCAAACTCTTGCCTGAAAGTCTCTAGGACCATTCGGCTCTTTTTCGTAATGAATAAATTTCTCAGGTAATCATATCTGTGTCGAAAACAGATTTTACAAAGTATCTACTACAAATTTCGTCGACAGAATGCCAGTAGAAATAGAACAGAATGTACTAATAGAATGTACTAATGGAATGATGACAAATCGACTGCCGAAACCGAATAGAATGTACCCCATTTTATTATCATTTAAATAATAGATACATTATATTTAAATAATTACGGAATCACAAATTTCGCTTGGTTTCTACTGGCAATCTGTTGACAGAACATAAGTTTGATACCGATCTGTCGCTCAAAACTATTGGCAAACTGCTAGTACACTGCTAGCACTGCTAATACCCGTATCATACTAGCGATTGGCGATTACGTTTACGTTTGCGTCTACGTCTTTTGACCAATCAGAACGAAAATCGCGAATTGCAATTGCTAGCAGCTACTTTCTGATTGGGCAAGAGACGTAAACGCAAACGTAGACGCAATCGCCAATCGCTAGTATGACACGGGCATAACACGCTACACACACGTGCTCACTGAACTTGCACAATTCTTATAAATATATCGCCCTATTTTTTATCATTGCAACGAAATTTTACCGAGTAACTATTTATATATTGTAGCGTTGGTCATTTTAGGAAGAAGCTTAAGTACATTTTGGCCTGAGATCAGATGACTAGCATTTTCGATTGTTATTGGCGCCACTGTGACGAACACGTAAACGGTCTTGGCGACGAAGTCGCTTGCCTTTTATTTGGCGCGCTTTATTGTTTCTTTCCAGACGGGCTTTCTTCAGGTTCTGAGTCGTGCGCTTCTTTAACACCTGCAAAGACAGAAGGGCAAATATTCAAAAGTATTCAAGAAATGTGAGAATTTACAAACAAAAAGAAATAAAGAATCAAAAGATTCTATGACTTGAACGCTTGAATATTTAATGACAATGGTTTAAATCTAAAAAATTTAGAGACTTTTCTAATTTGGGAAGAAATTAGTCATATAGTTACTGAGAATATAAAAACATGATGGATTTATAATAATAATAAACTTTTGTAATAGTTTGTTTTTTCGGTATATTTGAGATATTATCAATATTTGTTCTCTTGTCTAACACTTCAGAATTTGGGAAATTCGTACCTCTTGAGCTCGTTCCTGAGCAGAACGAAGTTGATTTCCAATTCTAACTCGGTTATTATTGCTATCAGATGCAGGTAGTTTGTCACTGTGGATGGCTTGCAATTCTGCAACAACTCTGCGTGAGAGTTCATCAATGTTACTTCGATCTGAACTGCTATCTAAAGATGTGGACATGGTGCACAACGTGGACGTGGAGGACGAGAGATCAGCTGGCGATGCCGCAGGGATTTCTTCGAGAACGTCAGCGTTACATAAAACAGTAACATTCTTTTGGCTTTTTGTCCATCCATCTGGTGAGGGGGGCGGAGTATCTGGTGTGACAGGGGGAGATGTCATCGTCCCTGATACGACGGAATAGACGGACATGCTAGGATGTTCTATTAGCAAATTTTCCATGGGTGAGGTTGCCACTTTTACGGGTCCTTCCTGCGTGAACACTGCGGGTGGCATTTCATACCACGGCTCCTCCAGCGTACCCTCAACTGAAACGAAAGGAAAGTGAGCGCGACGACATAATCTGAAATAATCAAAATATAATCTGTGTATCTGAAATGATACAAAATATTAAAAAAAAGGTGCTAAAGAAAGGCAATAGAAATTCAAGAATAATACTTAAAAAAATAATTAAAAGGAAGAAAAAGAAGACAATTAATATATTAAAGTTATGTATTAAAAAAAAAACATTTTAAAGATTGAGACGTGTAATATGTGTACTGCCGTAGCTAAAAGAATAATAATTTCTAAAAGATATCACTCAATTAATACAATCTAGAACTTACAATTATCATCGCGTATAAAAATTAGTAAATGTTTATCATCTAGCTATAAGTATTATATAATAATAGTGTGTGTGTGTATGTGCGTGCGCGCGCGTGTGCGTGTGCGTGTGTGTGTGTGTGTAAAATGGCGGCCAGCTATATTTAAGGACACACCAGTTTGCCAATATTATTACTCTATAGTCATTTATATTATATGGTTCAATAATAATGCGAAAAATCACGTAAATTTTAATAAAAAATAATTATTTTAGTGTAAAACAAACGTTATCCGACCTGTGCGCATTATTGAATAACTTTGTGCGTCAATAAAAAAATCAGCGTTCGTCGTACGAAAAAAGGGCTTTTTTTTCAAATTTTGTCCACAACAAGATGCATACAATAAAATTCGTCTCAAATAAATTCTAAGGCCTGAAAACAGCGGAAAAACTAAGACTATTCTGAAATATCAAAATTTTTTGCTTACATAGCTACAAACTAAAGAAAAAGGGTCTAAAAAATCGGTTGCATCATGAAAAGTATTCTTTATAGTTCTCAGATGATGTGTGATTTTTGGGGAATTTTTGATTCCATTTTAAATGACGGAAAAAAATCACCGGCGCAATAAAAAGAAAAAAAACGATAAAATTGAGGGTTTTCGGGATCCGAGTCTCGGACTTTGACAGCGCGTGCAAGCTAAACGCCTGACTTGACGATAAATGTTGTTTAGATCATTATTGTAGATAATTTTACGCTCTACAAAAAAGGTACGTATAGTTAGTTACCCTATTTTGCTTAATTTTCGAGATATTTAAGAAAAAATAAAAAAATCGTGTTTTTTGTTGATAATATTGTCAATAACTTTTTATTGCGCGTTAATTTTGCGAAGCAAAATAAATCCCACTTATAACACTTCAAATCAAAGCGATTCATGGTGGTTGCAACCTGGGAAGATTAATTGGAAGGTTTGATGTCTAATATGACTGGCCTACGAGATGCGCTGCATTAATTGATTGCATGCCAGGTCGCCTCGATGCAGTCATAGCCGCAAAAGGTCGTGCTACTAAATATTAATGATTTCTATCTCCTTTAAAACTTCAGTTATTATGTGTAAAATGTAGTTATTTTTGTGTTCGGATTACATTTCACAAATAATTAGATATGTATTAATTTATAATAAAATTAAAGTCGTTGGACTTAACTGACTAAATTCAATATTCATTGTGTGCTCTTTCTATACAAGAAGTTGTTATTCAAGAAATGTTTATCTATTTGCAATAAAATTGAATAATTTGTATGCAACAGATATGTCCTTAATTAACTGGCTGCCACTGATGTATGTTTATACTTGATATATTACTAACATAAAAATCTCTTGTGTAATCGTCATTTAATAGATTCCGTTTGCACTAAAAGTTACAGAAATTATTCTGAATATCGTCACATTAAGTGTCTCACCCTGTATATTAAAATGAACAAAATCTCTAGAGGGATTTTCTAAATTAACAATAGAGGCGGTTTAATGATGCATGTGTTTCCATGTTAAAGATACAATCATGATTATCTACTTAAATTCTTATCCAATTAAAATTTAATTAATAAATTTAATTTATATTAAATTATAATATATAATATTTAATTTATTAAATTATATTTAAAGTTTAGTCGTATTATAGAGTCTCTTTTCTTGCCCCACCTATGTTTCTCTTTCTCATACATAGTTAAAAATAAATTACTAAAAACAACGATAAATTATGTACCAGTTCGGTCAATGAGGATCCATTCATCGTCCTCGACTTCCACTTGCCTGAATCTCCGCATGATCCCCCGAGTTCGAGGATCTTCTTCAAGCGAATCTTGCGTGCCAGAATAGTTACTTCCGAACAAGTAACCGACAAAGTTGCCCAACATTTTGTTATCGTGTTCAATGTCTGTGACATATATAGAAAAAAACTAGATAAATAAATTTTAAAATTAGAGATTTAATACCGAAATATTTAATACCGAGATTAGCAATTCTATAGCGATATACGCATATATTGTATGTATACACACGCACACACACACACACGCGCGCGCGCACGCACATGCACACGCACACACACACACCGCGGGGTGTTTTTAAATATCCATTTTAAATGTCCTAGGCGAATATCTCGAAAAATATGGAAGATACGGAAAAATGTTTCAGACAAAAGTTGCATGGTTTGATAAAGGCCACATGATGAAAATATGGACTTGACCTTCAGTGATCTTTTCAAGGCCAGGTCAATGTGATCAAATGTTTTCTTAAATGTAACTCCCCATTTTTTATTGCATACTCTTGTAGCTCTTGTTGAGACGTTTTCAAAACACTATAATGAAGCTCTTTCATTAAGAATTTCATGATATAGTACTCGATAAATTAAGTTTCCCTTAGCTGCGGCGTATATACCGGAGTTACCCTTTACCCTATATATGTATCCTACAGAAGAAATTAAATTATTGTTTTATACAAATAACTGTCACAAATATACGATAGCAAATAGACGATTGTGATCTCATGGTTTGGGTCGCAATAGGATATAATAAACTGATATTGCATTTATAAGACGCCAAATAAAAAATTTGTTCTTTTAAAAGAATACTATTACAATGCATAAAATTGTAAGAGAATTGTTTCTGAAAAAAGGTATATCTTAGAACGATTGAAAAAATGCAGGAACGATTGCAGAAAGTATCTGCATTACCAACGCTTTCGGATCGCAGTCGTCGCAGTTCGGGAGAGCAGCTGTCCCAAAAAAAGAGAGCATGTGTTTCGAATCGTGAACGCGAAACCCACTCGCGGCAGCGCCAGCAACCGCCCCAAAATTCTTTCCGTGCAGGTTCGAGTCCACTTGAGCACGTAAACATGGAATTTATTTCCGAAAGCTGCGCCCTCCGTGCGAAAAAAGGACTCTCGTACGGAGAAAACTGGGCTCCGTCTTTCGGAAAGAGACATTAAGCCGTTGGTCCAAAGAGTTAAGTGAGAGGAAAAAGGTAGTGATGAATGAGAATTGTAACCCTAAGGGGATTGATTAAAAACTTACATTTTACTCTATCAACAACAAATTAGAAGAATTTTGGCACTGGTTTCAAGAAAATCGATCCATTAATAAAAAATTATCTATTAATAAAAAATTAAACTTATCCTCCAAAAATTAAATTCTATTATATTCTTTAGTTATTTCTACCCCTATTTCATATATAATTCTTTAAGAAGCGCGGGCAAAAAATCTATTCCCCTCTCCCCAAACTCACCCATTAATTAGAAGCACCAACAGAACCCTATAAAACCCCCAATTTTTAACCCCATAGTAGCCATCCCCATAAAATTAGTAATCTTTTGGTACCAGTTTCATAAAAAATTTAGGCACCGGTTTCAAAAAAATCGATCCATTAATAAAAAATTATCTATTAATGAAAAATTAAATTTTATTATATCCTTTAGTTCTTTCTACTCCTATTTCACATATAATTCTTTAAGATTCGGTCAATTATTCCTGAAAAATTGGAAAAATTTCGGTACCGGCTTCCAAAAAGATCGGTAACGAAAAATTATACGCTTTATAGCACTCCCCGGAAAATTCTATCCCTGTTTCATATACTTTTGGTAAAAATTTGGTCCACTAACGAATGAGTAGTTCGCGGTCATACAGACAAACAGACAGACAGAAGACGGTACTTATATATTTATATATATAGATACAATAAAATTGATTTCAATAAATTAAGATATTAATTGTATTGAATTAATTATTTAATTTATTGTTCAATTATTATTGAATAATTAATAACATCTGAAGTTCTTGTATAGTTTCAACAAAACTTAATTAAATTTAGAAACAAATTTGTATGTTTTTATAAATATTTTCTTCAAATTTAAATAAATTTTGATAAAATATTCTTAAAAAAACATACAATTTTATTGAAATTATCCCGAAATTATGTTAAAATTATGTTGAAATTTTGCTGAAATTATACTGAAATTTCGTTGAAATTAGGCTAAAATTTCACTAAGAAGTGTTCCAAAACGTGGAACAATTTCAGAAAATTTTTAGTAAAATTTCAACAAATTTTTCAGCGAAATTTTTCCACTAGGGATATTTATAATTATAAAATACAAAGTTATCAATTTGCTATCTTTTTATCTTGAATTGTATACCTATACCACATGATTTTCTAAAAATTGTATTTTTAGAGTGACTTTGACTAAATTCCGATTAACTTATTTAATCGACAATCAATTCAACCGACAAAATTGCAGTTTATACTAGTATAATTTCTAGTTTTATAATTCATTATCTCTATAATCTAATTTTTCTTTTCATGTGTCAAACAACAAAAAATTAATAGTTCTATATTAATATTAGTTCAATATTAATAAAAGACTACTGATATTATTTGATAAATTAATCGCTAATTAAATTAATTAGAGTTTGATCATCAAGCTTTCTAGAAAATTTGGAGTACTAAAATTAATTAAACAGTAAGAGATATATGTATAATAGGAATCGAGATAGGAATAAACATTAAAAAACTGCAATCAAATCTTACTATTTTTAACGCCGTACTCTAAATCTCTATATTTTTAATATTTGCGAGAATGTGTTAATCTTTTACTTCACTCTATTATCACATGATTGAACGACTACGTGAAATAAAAAAGCAAATGAAAAACAAAACATACCACATGCGTATCTTTCATAATTTAATCTGTAAATAGTGTAGCGCAGCGCAACGACAAAATTGCAGTCTCATTATATGCATAGGGAAGACCGGGGCTAAACCGTCAATTTTTTTTCGGTGCCGATTTTTAACAACAAAATAAATAATTTTAGTTAAATGTGGTATACCACTGTAAAGAGTAAACCTTTAGCTACAAAATTTATATAGAAAATGTTTATCTACGTCGCTTTGTTTAACCGGTATAGAGCAAAAACGACAACGGTGGAAAAATTGAAATCTCAAAAATGCCGGGGTTTAACCGTCACACTGCATTTTCAATACATATACGTACATCTGATCCTGAAAAATGATAGGATACATTTTAACAATTGTTTTTAAAAAAATATATATAAAAATTTATTTAAAATTTTTATGCGAAACATTATTAAAAAATAGTTACGAGGGTTCCGCTTTCCGCAGAAGTCACTCGCCCGACTTGTTTCACTCCTCGACGTCCGATGACTCTATTCGGTGTCTGAACGGTTGTAATTCCCGTCTCATCCATATTCCATATGCAGTGAGCCTGGAAATGCCCGGAAATACCTTGGAAATGCACCCAGACTGCTTACTGACGGATTAGCCCCAAACACAAGTTTCAGGTTTGATCGCCCACAAAATATTAGACATCAACGATAATGAAAAAACTACACTGGATTCGTGTTCAGCATGCATTACTCTTTATAATCACGTATCTCGAGATTTGGAGAGCAAATATTATTGCAGATATTACAAAATTTCCACGCGCAGAAAATGTAACTTTCACCTTCCGAAAACACGTTTGCCCTCGTAAAAATCATAACACGGCAGGTAACCTGCCGAAACTCCGTTGGTCACATGGGTACCATAAGCAGCGTTTACAATGTTAATAACGAGTTCGCACAATATACAGATTTCGAGATATTTGATTTGACGGTTCAACCCCGTTGACGTTTTAGCCCCGGTCTCCTCTATACTCTCATTATAATAAATGAATATATTATCAGAATAAAAATTGATAAATCTGAATGATGATGAATCAGAATAAAAATAATCTACAATCAAATTCAAGGGAAACACCGTTAAACGGTCAGGATTGGATCTTGGTTGCCTAATAATATTATTTACTCAAATAATATTAGGCAACTAAGATCCAGTCCTGACTGTTTAACGGCGTTTCCCTTGAATTTGATTGTATATCATACGATCGTATTTAATTTACTTTTTGAAAAATGATTATTCTTCTACTAAGTGTCAACTCTACGATTTTTTACACATCAAGTTCCAATAATTCTGAGCATAGTTCTAAGATTCTTTTACATAGTTCTTGATACTTTTTTGGAAGAATTTCGCGGTTTTTAATTAAAAAAAAAAACATACTTTCAATATCAAAGATATTTTAAAAATAACAGAAACATATGCGCAAATTCTGTTCTTACAGAAACGTTACAAATTGATTTATTAAAAGTCATGCGATATAGCCAATCGATTTGCAACTTTTCTGTAAGAACAGAATTTGCGCATGTTTCTCTTGCGAGTGAATTCAAGAATCCAGCCCCTGAACTCGTGATTTTTAAAATGCTTCGTAAACGTGTATTAATTTAAAAAAATCAATATGTCGAAAATTATAGTAGCTAGGGCTGTGCGGTTTCCACTTTTGTGATTCAGAACTTTAATTTTTTACCAGAACTTATTATTTTTAAAATATATTTGATATTAAAAATACGTTTTTTTTTAACTAAAAACCGCGGAACTTTTTCAATCAAGTATTAGAACCTCTGTAACTATTCAAAAGACCGTTAGAAATATGCTCAAAACTATTAAAACTCGACGTGTAAAAAATCATAAATAATAGTTAGCACTCTCATTTTTCAAAATCACTCTGTTTCCATTATCATAATGACCTGAACCATTTCTAAAAAAATAGACTATTTCTAAATATTTCCCTTTACACAGCCAGCCCCAATGAATGACCTTGACCTTGACATATGTTGTCAAGGACATGACTCTGAGTAACTCCTCCTTATAACTTAATCGTCGCTCATTGTTTATTTAAAAGTTATGAACAAAAAAAGTTTAAAAAATATACGAATTTGTGTCAATTCTAAAGGAAGTAATTTGTTAATATGTGTGCTGATGTGTGCGAAGACAGTACACATGTAAGTGGGGGAGGAGCTATCGCCTGGGTGAGTGGGGGTGGACCTCGTGGAAAATTAAAAACCCGAACCGTACAATGATAGACCTTGTTTCGCCCTGTAAGCAGAGGTAGGGGTAGATCGAAGCGTAAGTCATCTCACTCCATCCCGGCCTGCATATAGGGCAAAACAAAGTCTATTATTGTATAGTTTTTAACTTCCTACGCGAACCGAGCTTCACTCCCACCCACCCCTGCCTATGGGGAAGGGGGGTAGCCCTTCCCTCATCTATATATGTACTGTCTATGCACACATATCAGCAAATTACTTCCAAACTTGTAAATTTCTCAAACTTTTTGTTCACTTTAAATAAGCAATGGCCGACGATTAAGTTATAACGAAAAGTTACTCAAGGTTATGTCCCTGACAACATATGTCAAGGTCAAGGTCATCGGAGCTGGCTGTGTAAAGAAAAATATTTACCATTTAAATAAGTTTTGTCCACCTGTTAAATATTTAAATATCAAACAAATCATTTAATTTACTTACAATTAGAGTTGACTTATCACTTTATCAAATGATATTATTCAACGATTCTCATCCCTTGATTGAAGTACACGGTCACTACTTACACTATTTAATCCCGATTCAAATCATATTCTTAGATACTAATGCCCTTTTTCACCAACGTCGTTTAATTTGAACTTTAGTTCAATTCACTCTTTGTCTTTTTCTAACAGTCTCTCTTAGGGCTAAAGCACAGTCGTAATCGAGGACGTAAGTAATAACGCACAAGCTTTGGCGTATCCTGATCTGTCAGGTCGAGGACTACGACCGTGGTACATCGCTACGCCATGTTATGTGCTTTGGCCCTTAAGCGGGGAGCACACACTTCTGCACAACGCATAATGCGTAAGCATAAGAAAATTGATTGGTCTATTTCCTTACGCACATGTGTATGGACCAATCAATTTTCTTATGCTTACGCATTGTGCGATGTGCAGAAGTGTGTGTCCGGGCCCTTAGAAACAGACAAAGAGTGAATTAAACTAAGGTTCAAGTTAAACGACGTTGGTGAAACGGGCATTAGACTTCTCGATTCTAAAATGGATTCTTGGATTCCTGCACTTTGACTTGGCTCAACTCCACTCTGCTTCTGTTCTTCTCTCTCTTTTTCTTTCTCTTTCTCGCACGCGCGCGCGTTTATATACACATACCTACACGACACGACACGACACGACACGACACGACACACACACGCACACGCACACGCACAGACACACACATAAATACACACACTTTTATATATTGTTGTATAATCTTGACGCATTTTCGTAGGCGGTTGAGTGAGGCGATCACGACGACCTTGATCTCGAATATGCTTCTGTCTGGCTAAAAGTGCAGAGAGATCTCTCTCAGTGAGTAGTTTTCCTGGCGATAATCACGCGCCAACTGTATAACTATAAGTATCTTAATTGACAAATACATATACCTATGTCTTTCTTTTCTAATCCTAGTCTCTTTCTATTCGAGTAAAGGCCGTGGCACATAGAAAAACTTAAGCAGTAAAACTCAAGCAGTAAGCAAATCAGCCAATCACAGTCAAGAACTTAAGACACGGCCCTAAGCGGTAGCAAATCCATATCGTTGATTTCTGACTGCTTAAGTTTTGCTGCTTAAGTTTTTCTATGTGCCAAGGCCCTAACACAAATCCTCATAGTTCCTTCAGATTTAACTCCTTAAAGCTTGCATGCTTGCATTGCGTGATTTGTAATGCACAAACATTGCTGGCCAAACGTTTAAGACCAATCATTGAAAATGTCTACTATAAAATAAAATTAAACTTTATTATATAATTTAACATATTTTTATTATTTTAATCATTGTTTTACAATAAAGTAAAATTAAAAAAAATTATAATAAAATGTTTGAAGGTTCTACAAAAAATATTTTTTACGAGTTAAAAAGAGTATTACAACTCCATTTAAAAAAAAAAGTTGTAGTCCATTTTCTTGAAATTAAACAATGCTATGTTAACTATACTAAATATAATGTCTGTTTACTGTCAAACTAAAAAAAGATATTGAGTAAGCATCAATCGGGATTTTAGTGTTTCACTAGAATATTTTTAAATTGTATATGTGGTCTCAAACTTTTGGCCGGCAATGTATAACTTATTGTGATATATTTACGCAAATGACATTTTTAATTTATACAATTAGTGTTTCGATTTTTTAACTTCGACATAGATAATGTAAAAATAACTTCGATCGAGGAAAATTCTCTGGGAGAAGACTCTTTTAGTCAGAGAAAAGCAAATTCAAGATCAAGGTCGTGATCTTCTCACTCACTTGCCTATGAAAGCGCATCGAGATTATAAGTTTCTTTTAGAAAAATATTAGAAACAAAGTTTTATTCTAGCAATGTAAACAATATAGGCAATATAAACGTTATTATTGTTCACAATATGAACATGATCATTGGAAATGTTATTATCTAAATATATTTGGCAATTTGTTTCATAGTTTACAAGTATAGTGTAAAATAAATGTACACTATACTCATTTTATTTCGTTTAGTTTATTAAAAAACTCTTCTTTTTTTTTTTTTTATTTGGAAAACATTAATAATTCGACTTTAAAGATATATATAAAAAAATAATTATTACAACAAAATAGAATTACTTCAAATATTAAAATGTCATAAATTTTTAACAATTTGTATTAATTAATAGCTTTATTGTTATTTTAATTATTACTTTTTAAGGTAAGCATGCACAGTATGATTATTTTTAGATCAATTGCGAACAAGTTCAAGAGCAGAAATAACATTCATGATATAGTAATATGTTCAAAGATGAACTAAAGCCCGTATCAGACTACGGATTGGGATTGAGATTTGGTTGAAATTTGACCAATCAAAGCAAAGTTCACTAAACTTGAGATCAGTTTTCTCTATTCTGATTGATTAAATTTCAATCCAATTTCAATCCCCAATCCGTAGTCTGATATGAGCTTTAGAAAACATGAAAATACACAGATGAAGAAGTGCAAAAAGTTAAAAAAATGTAAATTAGGTAAAATAGATTCAAATAAATTTAAATGTAAATATATAAGCTTGCAGAATCCACGATCAAACGCAAACAGTGACAGTTCTAAAATCCCTTATATATCACGGCATTACATATCGCATTTCCTAAACGATCGTAATTACTGACTTTTATGACAACCACGTTTGTGTGGCTGTCAGAGACGACAGAATTACAAATTGCATAATTTATCTTTGCCATGACATCATCCTGGCTTATTCCACAATTGGCTGAATGACTTACATCATTCTGGGCTCGGAATTATTACTCGACTAGCAATGCTAGAATTAAAATGTACCCGATCTCCCTCGTTTTTCGAGGCCCTGTATTTATGTACCTCATGTGTGTTGCAAACGTTCAATTAAAGCAAGACTCAACCACTCGACAAGTAAATTGTGTAATAAAAACATGAAATAAAATGTAATCGATGAATTTACAACTCGCTTTCTTATCTTAATCATCTTTGTTGCTTCCATCGTACTGATCCCCTTCTAACTAGTTTGCTTTTCCTTTTTTCCGAGACTTTTATATATTACGAAAAATTCTTCAGCAAAAACACGACGGATAGGGTAATAAAGTTATAAAAAGTTCGACTTGTAGCAAACTCAACTTGGTATTTCTAAATCAAAGTTGTCTTAGTTTAAAGATTTTGGTTTTTTTTTTATTTTTTTTATTATTATTATTATTATTATTATTATTATTATTATTATT